TAAACCCAACTGCGATGAGGGTGCGGCAGCATCTGTGCACCTGGGCCGCACGAGGACCAGCGCCAAAAACGTGTTTGCGAACCCCCTCTATAATTAAGACGCAGCACTAGTAGGGAGCAGTGATTCCAGCAGCAATGCAATGAAGCAACAAAGGGAGGAAGAGGAAGAACAGGCCTTGAGCTTCAGGTCGAAAGGATTGGCCCGTGGGGCGCCGGTCGTTGCGTCTTGCGCCTCGATTGGCCCGCGTGGTGCGCCGGTCGTTGCGTCTCGTGCGCCTCGGCGGATGTCGCGTCGTACCAGTCAAGATCGGCATCGTCGTAGAAGAAGCGCCGTGGAAGAAATGCTGAAGACGGCCCTTCAAGGTCAAGTCAACGTCCCATGGCCAGATCTCCACATCTTCGCTGACATCAGGTCGCGCATGCTCCGCCGCATGGCCTTTGCAAGCTGACTCGAAGTCGTGGATAGGATAGGTCTTGTCTTGGGTCTTCGAAGTAGTCACGACTGCACTGGGTCGGGGGCCTTTTAACCAAGTCTAGTCACTCATAGTTGCGGGGGTTTTACTTCCCAATCGCTTTGTCTGGTAGGGTAAATGAGTCTGAACACCCGTCCGAATTAAAGGCCTCACTTAGGTAACTTATAGTCCGGTCAGTCACTATAAGCTGCGTTGATTCTTGCAAAGCCTTGCTTGCTGCGTCTGCAGGGATTCTCTGCACGGGCCCAATAGATTCGCTTATAGACATAGAAGACCGCCAAAATGATCGAATCCAGAACAGAAGTATCCCAAACACATCCCCAGAAGTCCCTGCTCCTTAGGGTCTGGCCGTGTCTTTGCAGGATGGCTGCTACAAGCAGGCGAAAGGCGATGTTGTGAGGTACACACGTCCGAGCGAATAACATACCTTGTCAGTCCACTCGGCTGCACAGAGAGAGAGAGAGAGAGAGAGAGAGAGAGAGAGAGAGAGAGAGAGAGAGAGAGAGAGAGAGAGAGAGAGAGAGAGAGAGAGAGAGAGAGAGAGAGAGAGAGAGAAAACTAAATCGCGTCATTTTTCTTCCCGGTGCTTTCCATGTCGCACGAGGTGCGGAAATGTCACGGCACCCATGCAACCGAACTTTCGCAAGACAGCGTCGATTCGGCTGCACGCGGTGAGCAACTTCCCGTACTTCCCCGGGGCTTTGTGTGTAGCACGAGGCGCGTAATTAAATGTCACGGCACCCATGCAACCGAACTTTCGCAAGACAGCGTCGATTCGGCTGCACGCGGTGAGCAACTTCCCGTGCTTCCCCGGGGCTTTGTGTGTAGCACGACGCGCGTAAATGTCACGGCACCCATGCAACCGAACTTTCGCAAGACAGCGTCGATTCGGCTGCACGCGGCGAGCAACGTCGCCTACTTCTAAGAGCAAGCTTCAGAGCCCCAGACGGCGTAAGAAGTCCTCCGTCTGCTGATCGGGGTCTTGCGCCCATCCGCGAGCGTTCTTCCCGGAAGAGGAGCAGTGCACATCGAAGTTAGGGAGGCTGGCGTAGTACTGCATGCACTGCACACAGCCAGCGCTGGCCGCATATAGAAATTTGTACTCCAGTTGACGATCTTCATCCAGATGTGCATGCCTTCGCGAGTTCCGGCAATGAGGCTGGTTTTCACAAGGTGTGTAATCCACCGATGTATCACTACTCTCACTAGACATGCTGCTTGACGACGAGGTATCCCGCGGAACTTCGCCTGTCTCTGCGGCCGTAGGGCTTGGTGACCTCGGAGCGGAGGAAGGGCCAGCACCTCCGGCCGCAGCGCTGGGTGTCCGCGAAGGGAAACTTGCCCATGCAACACCGCAGCCCGGTGTCTGTGAAGCAGAACTGGGACCACAGTCTTCGCTCGCAACGTCAGGCGGCGACGAGGGTGGCGGAGGGACATTTCTTGCCCAATGAACTCGAAATGTCTGAGAGGGAATGGCAGCGCCAGCAGCAGCACAGCCTCCGCCCGCGGTGTTGGGTTGCCGCGGAAGGGCTTTAGGCCAAACATGCCGCGGAGAGGCACTTGGCCATGCTGAAAACGGTTTTTGCCGAATCTCACACCATCGCTCAAACCTTTCCATCTCAGTGGCGAGCCACGTCTGGAACCCTGCATCTCCGGCTTTGTTTGGACGACCGTCTCTCCGTAGCATGCGATACTTGTTCCTCACAGTGTCCACGTCCATCCATTTAGCACTGTCAGGATCGAGCCGCAATTTGTTCAAAAAAACACCGAAATCCGCCATCGAGCAACTGAGCTTTCGCAAGACAGCGTCGACTCAGCGATTCCCCGGGAAACTATGAACGTCGACGGAGCCAAAAGCTTCGTTGAACAACCACCATGTCGCATGAGGCAAGTTTCAAACTGAGAATAGGGCTCGTGCACCAAAGCATACATGGACGTCGCCGTAGAGCGCGAGCAATCACCTGATGCAAGGCGGCTGCATAGAGTCTATAGAGGCAAATGTCAGGATATGCAACAAGTCCAAGCTGAAACTCGACCGAGGAGCAATCCTGAATCCGTTAAAGTGCCCTACAAAGCAAACCAGACAAGAGGTTTCCACGTCATCAGCCCCAGTCGACCGTCCCGGCCTGTGAACGGATCACTTTGCACATTCCGGGCACCTTCGCAAGTGCCGGGAGCAGTTCGACCACAAGCGATGATTTACTGGGCCTCGCGAACCTGGTGCATCCATTCTGTTTGTTAGCTGCATAGCACTCACAAGGAGGTCTCCAGGCCAAGGTTTAAGGTGTTTAAGATGTACGCTTCATATGACCGCTCTGGTTGCGGTCACCCACAGCGAGTGATCCACGATCAGGGGCCTACGCGGAGCCTCGCAAAGCCAGCGCATGATGGTTCTCTGCTAGCTGGATACGGCTTCGTACAAGATCTCCAGGCAGCAGCTGAAGAACCCAACAATGACTGCGGCGCTTAGCAGAAGCAATCCATGAAGACTATGACCAAAGTTGAAATCGGACAGGATGCGATACCCGAAGAACAAAACCACCGTGGCAGGCGACCACTGGGTCCACCGTCGTTCCGGGTGAAGTGTCAGCAGCTTCATGGCAGTAGCTTGACGAATGCTTCCAAGCTGGGGTCAGCTCCACTGCGCTCGGACCCGAGCAGAAACTCAGAAGAGAACTCTTCTGCCGGCACGTCCCGCTCCGAGTGTCTTCGCGGCTCGACGTTTAGGAGCTCTCACGAGCTCATCCCAATCTGCTTCGGGAGTTGTCCAGCTGCAAGAACTTGCAGGACGCATCGGGAGACACGTGTTACAGCACATTGCCAATCCAACCTGGAACCAGGCTCCCCGTGCTTGGTCAAGGCTGCGTAGGTGCTCGGACGTGTTTCATCACCTTCTTCGTGGTCATCGACAGAGAGATGAGAGCGACGGCTAAGGTTCGCCCATTCCATGTGGTTTGGCCGCTCTCCAGTTCCAAAAGCCGACGAAGGAGCAGAATTCAGGAATTTTCTTAATTCTTAACTCGACCTTCCTCAAGGAGCATGATTCCCACGATCTGAAATCATTCCAACTGGCTCGTTTTTCTTTCCCCCGTCCTACTTCCAAAAGCGACAGGTCTAACGTCTCGACAAGAGAAGCGTGTTTTACAACTCACAGAGCTTTGTGCTTCGGTCGACCGCCCCGGCCTACCAAGAAAAGCGATACTCGACTTGGACCGTCCCGAAGACGTCGGTACCTGCCACAACACACACGGGTGCGCTACGATGACAGCCCAAAGCGGCCACACACATGCTTCCACATGCCGGCAAGCGAATCGACAAGGATTTTCTGATCAATAGCAAGCACAGCAAACCACAAAACCCCACACCCTGACTTAAGCATCCCTTTCTGTAATGGCCTCCCCGGCGTCTTTGCAAAGACGAACGTGCTCTGACAGTCATGCGGACCGGAGACTTAGGCCACCCCCATTCGGCCGAGATATGGGGTCACCCCGCTCTGCCATGGGGATATCAGGCGAAGGCTCTCAACGACCACTAGCAGCTGCAAGCATTTGCCCGCGCTATGCTTATGTCGCCCTCTGCTCGCAAAGAAGCAGGACGTCGTGGTCGTCGTGGTGCCATCCCAGAGTTCGCAGCGGATACTTCTGCCCCCGACATTGTGTACCTTCTGCTGGACTTGGCCAACAGCTTGGCGCAAGAGCCGAACGTCGGGTCGGCCATGGCAAGAGCGGTAGTCGAATTTAGTTCGACTGTGGCGCGGGTACGTGGCATCAAATGGTAGCTGCCAAAACTGGCGAGCGAGCGAAGAGCTGCCGTTTGTTAGAACACGATACATCAAACCCCATTCTGAACATGTTGGCACGCTGGCTTCGACAAACACAACCGAACAGCAAGCCAAGCAAGGTGCTCTGCTCAATAACACAACCACGTCCCAAGAACGGACGGCCCCCCTTCTTTGTTCGGAACCTGGAAGTCTGGCCCGGACAACAGGATCCAAGGTCGCGGAAATCCAGCCTTTGCCCCAGCACGGCGCATTAGCCCATAAGCCCGGCTGTCATCTATCCCCCTGCCCGGGGCTAGGTTGGCCTCAAAGCAAAACCGAACGCCTCACACCTGGCCAACGGTGTCGAGAGCAACCCGGAAGGGGCAGGGGTCGGCTCCCGACGTAAGGCAAACATTCGAAGATCGACCGGCACTCTGCCTCTGTTGATTCAAGTGCACAACAACACAGACATGTCACAAGATTCGATCAAGCTCGACTCAATATCAACCGTCTCCAAAGCCCGCGTGCTTAAAGTGTTAGAGTAAGGCTCGTGCAGCAAAGCAGCGATGGAGGTTCTCGTAGAGCGCGAGAAATCACCTGATGCAAGGGGGCTGCGTAGAGCTACACATCGTGCAGAACCCGCGCCTTTCGGAATCCTTCTTTTTGTGTCACAGCCTCTTCTCATCACACAGCCTATTCTACCGCGCCACCGAACTTTCGCAAGACAGCGTCGATTCGTTAATGTTAGGCGCAAATCTACGCTCGGCACTAAGCGCTCTGCCACTGCGCTTCAATCGAGAACAGCAGTGTGCCGTCTGCGCCCAACGACTCACGACGAAGCGGCATGTGAAGGCGAAACCATCCGGGGTTCTGGGGGGTCTTTTCCAACAGGCCCATTTCCTCAGTGGCAGCGACAAGAGAATTGTTAAGGCAAGGACACCCAGGCTTTCGAGGTTGTTATTCCACACGCAAATGTCAATGCAGCACTTTTATTGCAAGACACCATGAGCGTCGTGTACCCCATCGGCGTAAAGGTGATAGCGTGAGCTCTGACGGTGTGAGGATCACCCGAACGTCCAGTGGCAATTTCTCCATCCCACGTCGTCATGTCCGAGTCCAGGCACCGATGAATGGCCTCGACCGACCGTTATACTAGCAACAGCAGACTTTGCATGTGCTAGCACGGGCATGCCACAGCAAGCACAGCCGAGATGCCAAAACGGCGGTAGGACGAAGTCCCCAGCGGTTCTTGAAGGAACCCACGACTGCCTGTCCGGCCAACACCTGATCGGATTGAATGGGCGTCAAACCCACGTAGACTCGCACCTCCGTCACGACGGGAATGGCCATGGCTCCGGAATGCATCTGGGGTAGGACGAAGTCCCCACGGTTCTTGAAGGAACCCACGACTGCCGGAGGCACCGAGCTTTCGCAAGACAGCGTCGACTGGCAAATATGAACAGGATGGAGCCAAAGCTTCGTCTACAAATCGTCAAGCTGTGGAGACCTCACGTCCCTCTTAGGCCTGACATGTACAGCATCAAGGACGAAAGACTTTAAAGGATTCTATCGCTGCCATGCTATACCTTGCATATCTACCCAGCCACGCCTGTCCTGCAAGGGTTGTAAGTAGACAATCAAACGTTGTCCTCCGCCGGCGTCGTCCACGCTGGCTCTTTCGCAAGACAGCGTCGAAGCCATGCAGCAACGAGTGAAACTAGGGAAACTACTGAAGGCGGTGCAAACCGCCGGCGTCGTCCACGCTGGCTCTTTCGCAAGACAGCGTCGAAGCCATGCAGCAACGAGCGAAACTAGGGAAACTACTGAAGGCGGTGCAAAGCCAAGAGCACGTAGTCGCGGCGTCTCCACGCTCTTAGAGCTGGTCGAGCCGCTAAAATGCGCCCCACAGCTTCCGCCGCGCTGCACCTTGTGTCCTGCATCAACCATGCGCAAAGGGCCGCAGGGCTGCGATTGATGCCGCCGAAGCAGTGGAAGAGCACGTTGAAGTCCTTGCCCTCCTTTCTGCAGGCTGTGCGTGCACTCGACAGAGCATCAGCCATGCCTTTCCAAGTTTGGGTGCAGTTCTGCGTGCATTCCAAGAACCAGTCCGGATGCTGGCTGTACCTGACCTGGTGGTCGTCCAGCTCGACTTGCAAGTGACGCACACCGCAATCGAGGAAGTGCTTGTTCCAATCTCTCGGAGTTCCTTTCACTTGCATCTCTGTTTTCCAACAAATGCTGACAACAACTGTAACAGGAACTTTCGTGTGCAACTCCACATTGTGGAGGTCCGCAGCCGAGCGCAAGCTGCCGAGCAGACACTTCTCGCCGGGCTCGGAGCTCACCACCACAGCGTCGAGAGGCCACTCCGAGATGTCCCCGAAGTTGTAGGACTCGCCCCAAACAATGTAGTCCATGTCCGACCAAGGTCCATGCTCGTATTTGTTTGCAATTTCGAGCTGCCAAGTTCGAATAAATGTTTCTTCCGCATCTGACATCGCCGACGAAGCAGAAGAAGCAGAAGACGAAGAAGCGGCCAGGGCATCCATATGTGCAAAGTAGCAAGCAGGCTCGAAGGAACTAGGTCTCTCGGGCCAAAGCTGTCAATACAAGCAAGCAGAGAGAACACTCCGGTCACGACAATTCGCTCCACGCGATCCCTCACTTCCTGCCATTCTCCAGGCTGATCATTTCCACGATCTCGTCCTCAGACGTTTCCGTGATTACCTTGATAATCTCGGTGATTTTACCACTGGATGATGCATGTGCTACAGTAATGGTCCAGGTGATTGGGTCTCGCGCGACAGCAGCTTTGGCCGCGAGCTAGACACACAGCCCGCTGGCGGAAGGCAGCTTTCGCAAGACAGCGTCGACTGCTCCGTGTGAGACGTTTGCAAAACCGTACCCTCGCTTGCTGCAGGTCCGTGACCTGCAGCACAAGGATTGAGAGGGTCGGCATATCCTTCTCACAAGACAAAAACTACACCTTGTCTCCAGTCACCTTGTCTCCTGTTTTCCAGGTCTCGCAAGACAGGCCAAAGGAGCCAGTACACTACATAAAGCACATCCGTGTTCACTTGAATCTGCGGGAAGTCGAAGTCCGGCTCGTTGGGTGGGAAAAGGTACTCGGGGTATCCTAAGGACATCCTCGCATCCAGATACTCACCAATGAGACGATTCACATTTCCAGGCAGGCCTTGCAACTCCAAACTATCAGCACCCGAGGTCCATAGCAGCGCCACAGTGATGGCCACGGGAGCCGACATCTAAACTGCTATCATCGCGCCGAGCTTGAGCCGGTTGTGCAGCTGAAGCAGGAATGTCAAGGTCGGTGTCGATTCGAATGTGCGTCGCAGGACACGCCCAGCTTTACATTCCGTTGCAAGGCTGCCTAGGATGCCGGAAGAGCCCCGGAAGAGCCCCTCCGCTGTCGGTTGGAAACCGACAGCGGAGGCCAGACACGCAATCCACTCGCGAAATGCAGCTTTCGCAAGACAGCGTCGACTGCTCCGCGTGGGGACTTTTTGCAAAACAATACTATCGTTGCTTCGAACAGGTCAGTGACCTGCAGAAACAAAGGGACCTCAAGGCGCACGGAAGCCGTGCAACGGCATTCCCGGCGCGAACTCCGGGTCCATAATTTCTTGGATCCTGCGCAGCAGCTGCACGATCCTTTCGTGTTCCCGAGACCAATCTTGCATGGTACGCATCAGCTCAGCTAACTGCACGTTCATTCGCGCTTGATCCAGCAGCATGTTGTTCAGCTGACCTTGAAATGTATGCACAAGGACCTCATAATTCACTGGAGTGGGGTACACGTTTGCATTCGCGCTGGTGTCCGATCCAACTCCATCCTCGCGAGAATCCTGTTGCGCTTGGTCCGGACCTTCCACCGTGGATGTAGTTGCATCTCCAGGATGGGGATCCATGGCGCCAAACAGACACGAAGAACGGAATCTAACTCAGCAGCTGCGTGGAAGAATGTAGCATGCGAGCAGGAGCAGCCAAGATTCGCCTTCGCTATCAATGAAGCTGCCTGAGCTCGCTCCTACCTGACAAGACGCCATGGAACAAACAGCATTTTTGTCGTGTCAAGGCCGAGAGAATCGCGCATCTAAGACTCAATCAGCGGCTTTAGAACATCACTGCTACGTGCAGAGGCTAGATACAGCCCACTGGCGGAATGCAGCTTTCGCAAGACAGCGTCGACTGCTCCGCGCGGGGACCGTCGCAAAACTGCACCCTCGCTTCGAGGAGGTTCAGTCAATGCAGCCCACTGGCGAAATGCAGCTTTCGCAAGACAGCGTCAACTGCTCCGCACGCGGACCCTTGCAAAACTCCACCCTCGCTTCGAGGAGTTTGAGTCAACGCAGCCCACTGACGGAAAGCAGCTTTCGCAAGACAGCGTCGACTGCTCCGCGCGGGGACCTTCGCAAGACTCTACCCTCGCTTCCAGGAGGTTCAGTTCATTTCCCAAGCGCTGCACTTCACTTTCGATGGCGTCTCCTGCACGAGGCTGCTGGCAGGTCGTTTGTTGCTTTGCAACGCCGGTCCGCCCTTGAGGAGGTTCCAGACCATCTCACGCTCCCTCGAGAATGTCTTGATCTGCTCAGGTGTCACTTTCGACATCCATTCCACCTGCAAAACCACCTCCTGGGTTGCAGCATTCTTGATCACACGGCCCAAGATCAAGCGCGGAAGGCCGTCTGCCATGTTGAAGAGGAAGCAATTTGTGAATTGACAAAAAGCCTCGATCCCGAATGCCTTTCTGTCTCCTACACGCTCGAGCGTGTGCGAGTACACCTCCTTGTGCTTCGTCAACAGGTGCTTCTCCTCGTCCTTGAACACCTCCTCCACGGTGGGCTCGTCCTCGGCAAAGGCCACAACGGTCACGTAGTTTGCGAAGACACCGCCTAACTTGAAGAAGGTGCCCATGTCTGAGCACATCAAATCGGCAATCGGACACTGGACTGGCAGCACAGCACCATCTCGCTTCTCGGTCGCAAGACGGGTGACCTTTTTCACCATCGGACGCCGGTCCTCGTCGTACTCCTCCCCGAAGCAGGCGCGAGCTGCCAAGACTTGAAACTGGGTCGGGGCAGCAAGTCCGCCGGTCACACTCGCCTGCGAAGCTTGCTGCGCGGAGCCCCCCCGCGGTTGGCCGAGGCGGTGCGACGTGCCCAGCCGTGCGTCGCACGGCCCCCTGAAGCAGACTGCCTCACTGCCTTTCAACTGGATCAACTCAACCAGCTTCTCTTCGTCACGGACCCGGGCCAGCGCCGCCAGCTCCGGTCCTCCCACAAGCACGTTGCTGAGCTGCCCCGTCCAGTCCGCCAAGTGCACGGTGGCCAGCACTCGCTGGGCATCCGCAGGCTCCGTCTGACATCCATCGGTGGCACGCTTGCACTTACCGGAAGTTGGGTCGATCTTCGTGGAACACACTTTGCACGGAGTATAGACTGGATCCCCAACGATGTCGACGAGCCAGACGTTGTGCAGGGCCACTTCGACTTTCTCCTGCGCCAAGCAAAGTCATGCAAGTTGGGGCACGGGAAAGCAGCTTCTACACAACAGAAACACGCGAAGGCAGTCCTGCGTTGATCCCTGCTCCATTGCGCTGCCGAATGCATTCATAGTTGCGGCGCATGCGACGTAGCAGGGCCCGAAGTCAGTGGTCAGCCTGCCGCCACCACTCAAGGAAGGGCACCAAGGAACAGAGATGCGATCGCCTTGCGTGGGTTCCAGATCCCGAAGCTCCCGTGCCCGATCGCCTATGGGGTCCACGTGCAGCATACTAAAGCCGTGCTTGTCGTTGTCGATGAAATGTTCCGCGGCGCCTTCGATGGAATCGTTCTCCTTCTTCAGCAGGGAAAGGTTGTCGATCTGAACGACGCTACCTTTGTGCGCGTTAGCCAGACTCTTTACGAAGCGGTCGCCCCAGATGTTCACCAGCATCTCCTTGCCCGACGTGTCCTTTAACCAGAGGTTGGCTTTGGGCTTGGAGGTATTCGGCATCTCGAGCTCCGTGACCAGTCCAATGACATCCACACGCTCGCGCCCTTGGCACTGTGTCGCCAACACCGAGAAGTCCGACCTTGCAAGGGGGAAGATGGTCTTGATCTCCATCGCCGACGG